TATAGTTTAGTGTACCAACATTTATCCTTAATTTATAAGTGACAAAATCAAGGATTTTATAAAAAGAATGTAAGGCTTAATGCATATTTTATAAAAGTTGGAAGAAACTTTATAAAAATTTATGGAAAAAAATTAAATAAAAAAAAATCCCCCTCCTCTCTCCAAATCTCGACTCTCTCTCCTCCCACTCTTCCCAAAACCGTTCACTAATTAAAACATCTCCCACACTCTACCTCTCTACTTCTCTCTCTAAAAACTTCTCTCTCTAAAAACTTCTCTCTTCCTTCTCTCTAGAAATAACGAACTTAGAGGGTGTTTGGATAGGGGAAAAAGAGAGATCCTATAGCTTATTGTTTATCCCCACCGCTATATGCTAAGTTTAAGTTTTTGGATAGGAAACATTAAAAATCAGCTTATTGTGGATAGGAAAACATTAAAAAGAGAGATTCTCTTTTCTCTCTTTTCTTCTCTCTAAAACCCCCCCATTCTTCCTCTTCCTTTCACCCATGAATTTGGAAGCCAAAGAACTCCATTTGTGCTTAAAAATCTTCATCATCAAGAGTTATTATTCAAGGTAAAACCGAAAATCCTCCATTCTCCCTTCATTTCATTAAGATTTTTCATGTATTTTCTTCTCATTCTACACCTTTCTCTATGTAAATCCATGTGCATGTTCGTGCACTTCAGTTTTGATGATGATGGTGGTAGGATTTCACCCAAAAACGATATGCATGTTGTTAGAAGGTGAAATCCAAGGACCAAAACCTATGTCAACCCCAAAAATATGAGTTTTTAGAAGTTTTAATGTTCATCAACCACATGCATTTAAGTTTTTCATTTAGAAACATCATTTTGAACAAAAAAAGTTCATTTATGGTCTTCAAATCAAGAGGCATGTGATGAACATCAAGCTTAAAGGTTTGATGCTCAAAGTACATTGTTAAGAAGGTTCATAAAGGATTTATTCATAACAAATACCTAAAACTCCTTTTCAGTTCAAATCCATTTTTTCCCAAAATTTGAACAATAAAATAAGATGATCTGAAAATTTTTAGAAAATTATTAATTTTTCTCGAATTATTGTAATATTTGCAAGAAAATAGAGAAATAATTCACATAAAATATTTTCTCAGGTCTATAAATTGCTAGATAACCTGTAAAGAAAATAAACATCTCCGATGAAGTTTCACCTATTTTTGTCACAGTTTGCTACGATATCTAATTTTCTTTGTGTTTGACTCAAATAAATCATAAATCTAAGTTCTGAAATATGAAATGAACATCTAATAATTTACACCACTTTTAGACCTTATATCACACCTAGTTAAATATTTTGAGATTTTTTCATAACATATTTCTTTTTTTCCACGATTTTTTGTGTATTTAATGGACTAAATTATGGAAAAATAGTTACACTTTCCTATAAATCATGAAAAGTTCCTAGGATATCTTCTATTACAGTAGGATACCAAATAAAAAGTTTAGTGATTTGCCTTACTGCTTACTATTTTTCACAATGTAAATTCTTATTTAAGGTACTAAATCATCGAAAAATGCCCACACCATCTAAAAATCATGAAAAATGTCCAGAACTTCTTTGATTACAGTTTAACCAAAATTAGAATGTTTGATTATTTTTACTCACTTTTTACTATCTATTTCGAATTTCTTGTTATTAAACACATCTAAAATCATAAAAATGGGTTCCACAGTTTAAAAAGTTCATTGACCACTTAGCCTAGCTTCCAAATATTATAGATAAATTACTTAAAATGTTTTAGGATTTATTTGAATTGTTTTCTTTTTATTTTTCAATTTCCTAAGATTAAACATCAATAAATCAAAAAATCAGACTCCACTGGTTGAAATGACTTTTGATATTTTTTCCAACTTATATAAACTGAATAATAGTTGTATATAAAGATTGATAATTTTTCTTAACATTTTACTATTTTTTTCATGAATTTCTGAGGATTTAAGTGGTTAAATATGGAAAAATAGCTATTCATATCTAAAATGCTTGAAACATTTTTCAGAAGTATATGGCTGTAATTGGAACACAAAAAAAAGGTTTTGTGATTTTTATTTACTAATTTCTATTTAATTATAAGTTCTTGGTGTAAAACATAATTAAATTATAAAAACCAAGTTTTATTGATCAAAAGTAGCATTTAAGATTTTTCCCAGTTTAGGGATATTGTGAATCAGTTATACAAAAAATCTAAGAATTTTTCATGATCATTTACTGTTTTCCAAGAATTTATGATTATTCAAGGATTTAAAAATCGTGAAAAAAAAAGTTAGACAAGTCAAAATTCAAAGAAAATTTATATTAAGGTCTTTGACTTCAGTTAAAACTGAAATACAAAGTTTATGAAATTTAAGAACTAATTTGATTTAATTTTGAATATTTAATCATTTGAAACACCTTTCAAAATGTTATAAGTACATCAATTAACATTACAAAAATGGGATTTTCCATTTAAATTTGTTTTTAAACAAATGGATTCATAGGAATCTAAATTTCACAGAAAAGTGTTTGTAATATAACACACTACTAGAAAAACAGCCTTTTACAACACACAATGTGTGTCGTAAAACTCTCAGATGATGCGCAAATGCGCGTCAAGGAAGACCCTATCATAACGAGAGATGAGACTCTTTTGCACGTCGTAACCTTACGACGCGCATTCACGACGAGCAATGCGTGTCAAGGAAGCCCTGTCATAAATAAGATGACACACATTCGCGTGTCGTAAAACGATCCACATTTACGACTTGCATTGCGTATCATTAAAGCCCATGTCATAAAGAAAGATGACGCACATTTTTGTGTGTCATAAAGTTTAATGTTTTAAAATATATATATATTTTTGTAAATTTACTAATTTTCGTATTACATCACACATTTAATGTCTCGTAACATAAAATAAAATTTAATGCAAAAAAAATAAAATAAATTGCACAAACAATAATGTCATAGAAATAATCATTCAAATGTTAAATAAGAACAATACATTGCTAAAATGGGTTATACATTCCTATAAAACTAACAACCCTCGGTGACCTTGATCTAGATCGAGGTCGACTTGGATCGATGGCGACGATTTGATTTTAGATACACAACATGATTACTGACCTAAGACCTTTTGCAAAAAGTGCATCCCATGCCCTATTTCCAGCAACCACCACACGTTTAGTGTCTCAAGGGCAGACATTTCCTGAGGAGAATCCCACAAAGACCACCAAATCTGTTAGAACAAGAAACATTGGGCACCAAAACAAGCAAGCGGCTAAAGGCGGCACCACCAGTTGGGGTTTTGGAAAAAAGACCAAAACATTAATGAATAGATTTGGCAACACGAAGACTTTTTTTTCTTCCAAATTTACCCTCATGGGAAAAAGAAAGAAACATGGTCTATTTCTTACCAGGTCTCTGAGAAGACTTCACTTCAATACCAAGTCTGGCCAGATGGCCTAGCATGATAAGAACCATCCATTGTGATAGAAAGTGAACAATATATTGCCCCTAAAGCTCCTGCAGCACCTAAAAATAGCTATTCATATCTAAAATTCTTGAAACATTTTTCGGAAGTATATGGCTGTAATTGGAACACAAAAAAAAAGGTTTTGTGATTTTTATTTACTAATTTCTATTTAATTATAAGTTCTTGGTGTAAAACATAATTAAATTATAAAAACCAAGTTTTATTGATCAAAAGTAGCATATAAGATTTTTCCCAGTTTAGGGATATTGTGAATCAGTTATACAAAAAATCTAAGAATTTTTCATGATCATTTACTGTTTTCCAAGAATTTATGATTATTCAAGGATTTAAAAATCGTGAAAAAAAAAGTTAGAGAAGTCAAAATTCAAAGAAAATTTATATTAAGGTCTTAGACTTCAGTTAAAACTGAAATACAAAGTTTGTGAAATTTAAGAACTAATTTGATTTAATTGTGAATATTTAATCATTTGAAACACCTCTCAAAATGTTATAAGTACATCAATTAACATTGCAAAAATGGGATTTTCCATTTAAATTTGTTTTTAAACAAATTGATTCATAGGAATCTAAATTTCACAGAAAAGTGTTTGTAATATAACACACTACTAGAAAAACAGCCTTTTACAACGCACAATGCGTGTCGTAAAACGCTCAGATGACGCACAAATGCGCGTCAAGGAAGACCCTATCATAACGAGAGACGAGACTCTTTTTGACGTTGTAACCTTACGACGTGCATTTACGACGCACAATGCGTGTCAAGGTAGCCCTGTCATAAATAAGATGACACACATTCGCGTGTCGTAAAACGATCTACATTTACGACTTGCATTGCGTATCATTAAAGCCCATGTCATAAAGAAAGATGACGCACATTTTTGTGTGTCATAAAGTTTAAATGTTTTAAAATATATATATTTTTCTGTAAATTTACAAATTTTCAAATTACATCACACATTTAATGTCTCCTAACATAAAATAAAATTTCATACACAAAAAATAAAATAAATTGCACAAATATTAATGTCATAGAAATAATCATTCAAATGTTAAATAAAAACAATACATTGCTAACATGGGTTATACATTCCTATAAAACTAACAACCCTCGGTGACCTTGATCTAGATTTGGATCGATGGAGACGATTTGATTTTAGATACAAAACATGATTACTGACCTAAGACCTTGTGCAACAAGTGCATCCCATGCCCTATTTCCAGCAACCACCACACGTTTAGTGTCTCAAGGGCAGACATTTCCTGAGGAGAATCCCACAAACAACACCAAATTTGTTAGAATAAGAAACATTGGGCACCAGAACAAGCAAGCGGCTGAAAGCGGCACCACCAGTTGGGGTTTTGGAAAAAAGACCAAAACATTAATGAATAGATTTGGCAACACAAAAACTTTTTTTTCTTCCAAATTTGCCCTCATGGGAAAAAGAAAGAAACAGGGTCTATGTCTTACCAGGTCTCTGAGAAGACTTCACTTCAATACCAGGTCTGGCCAGATGGCCTAGCATGATGAGAACCATCCATTGTGATATAAGGTGAACAATATGTTGCCCCTAAAGCTCCTGCAGCACCTAAAGCCCCAACAGCACCAGCCAAAACAGGTAGCCTACAACAAAATTTCACAATTTTATCCATTTACTCACCTAACTATTATTATCTTAAATATTTATTTATTTATATATATTTAAAGTACCATGTCATTTCTAAATTCCCCATTCCATTGGGCTGAGTAACATAGCCAGAGAATGCCATGCCAACAGCAGGAACTCCAAGCCCAACGAGTAATCGAACGATGTTTTGTTGTACGAAAAGATCTTGACATTTTGGATAATGAGCTACGAGCTCCGATACAGCCCAGGTGACAACTGCTTGCACTTTCATGGGACCTTCTTTGAGAATTTTAACAAACACCGAGCATACACCGGCGTGAATCATGTGTTCAACGCTCTCAGGATCACGACCTAGCAATCCGATTGCAGGCGCAGCGTTCTCCTGACCTTCTAGTTTCCCTTCTGTCACCAATTTCAGCAACGGATTAACTCCGCCTTCTTCAATTATCAACTTCCCATACCAATCGTTGTCTCTCGCAAGCGAGACAAGCGATGCTACCGCGTTGGACCTGTCATCTAGGCTTCCGGTGTACAAAATCGCGATTTGCTCCCAAATTAAACACAAAATAGGTTCATTAGCAGCGATCGGAAAGAGATGAGCCGAGTTCAGAGGTGAGTTCAGGTAGATTCGGTAGTGGTGGAGGAGGATTAGGGTTTACAGAGAAAAGGAGAAGGAGAGAGTGAAGGTTGTGGGTTGGTGGCGTGCTTGCCTTGATCGTCGTTGACGACCGGGAATGGCAAGTAACGAAGGTCGAAGTGTGAGGGAAGAAGTAGGTGGCAGTCAATGTCCAATGTCGGGAGGAGGGAAGGAAGGAGCGTCGATAATTAGGGCAAGAGGTTAAGGAAGAAAAAGGAACGCGGGGTTTTTAATATTTTAGGATTTCATTCCCCCCCTCCCTCCCAGCTATTAAAGGATTGAACGCGCGTTTCCATTAAAATTTATAAAACAAAATCTTCAGACGACACACATTTTATTATAGGTGCCCTCCGTGTTTTTTTTTGTTTAGACACTAATTTAAGGGCACGCAAAAATGCGCATCCTAAATCCTTAAAATTTATAGAGAAATGACATTATTTTTAGGTCACATACTTTTGCGTATCGTAAATCGATGCGTATCATCAATTGCGCGTCGTAAAAGGCTGTTTTTCTAGTGGTGACAACATCAAATTTTTGACAAAATTTTGACATTTCTCTATCGTAGAAGGTAAGTATGCTAATGTTAGTTTTCGATTAGAGACTTACTAGTATATACCAGTATTATAGGACATCGGTAGTCGTACGATCGGAACATAGTTCAAGGCATCGTTAGAATCATCACGAAATAAGTTGTGAGTATTCACGGACCCTATTTTCGGTTTTTAATATTTTGGGGAGGAAAATCATGTCGTTTATTCAATTATGTTCATTATACTTATTTTAAATTGTATCAAATATGATTTTCTATGTATGTGTTTGCAATTGTCGATTCAAGAGTCTTGTATTGCGGTAAAGTCCTTGGAATCATTTCACACAACTCATGAACTCTTTTAAACCCATTGTCCTTACTTATTACAACATTACTGTACACTGTCATTTTCCCATTACATTCATATAGTGATCTTCTCACGTAAAAGGTAATGTAAACTATTTTCTGGTAATGACAGTCATATGCTTGGGAAAACACTCACTTTTACGGAAGAAAAAACATACAGAACAGTCGGGTCTTGGTAGAAGACTACTTTCATTTTTAGTAGAAAATATAGGATTTTCTAGGAAATATACAAACTTTACATCATACACTTACAAACTTTACATCAAACACTTACAAACATTACGTTAAACACTTACAAACTTTACATCAAACGCTTACAAAGATTTTCGTCAAACTTATACGAACATTTGACACTAAAATACTTATGAACTCACCAGCTTAAATGCTGATCTACTCTTTCAAAATAACTTGTATTCTCAGGTCACCAGTAGACAGGTACACTACTCTTTCAAAATAACGTGTATTCTCATGTCACCAGTAGATAGGTACACTGGACCAGGTTTTGAGAAGACGGAGCATGTTCAAGACTCGTCTTTTATTTTGATATATATATTTTTGGTGTCTTACAAATACCTGCAGAACACACTTGTATTAACTATATTATTAATGAAATGGATGATGTTGTTGCTTGTTTTACTATTGTGCATTGTTATGATACTAAATATGACGTCCTCCGTCCCCGAACATTTCCGCCGTTCTGGTTTGGGGGTGTGGTAGGAAAGTAGTATGGGCCCGTACTACTGAAAGCACAGGACCCATATGTGTAGCAAGGAAGTCACAAACCCTAAGGGATTAATCTCAACATATGATTGTAATAATATGTATTGTGACCTTTCTGATATGTCTTGGTTTATTTCCATAATGGTGTAGACAAGAGGATTAGGATATGGAGTTGGTGGCCATGGTAGGCCACGATTGATTGATGATCAAATATGGGACATCATCACCTCTGAGGTGGCTGCTGTTGTCCGAAGTTCTATTGCAGAGATGTTTGGGTCTATCAAAACCGTTATGATTGAGCTCTTTGATGAATGATATGTTGCTCTTTCTGATGTTGTTGTTCGTGCAACTACCATTGTTGTTTCTTCTGCAGGGATTCGAGGAGAGATATCCTTCTAGTACCGAGACTTCGACAATACAAAGCCCCCAAGGTTTGATAGGGTCAGGGACCCGATTGTGGGGCTGAGGTGGTTGTCTGATGTGGAGGGTTGTTTCTTCACATGTTCTTTCCCTACTGTACAGAAGGTTAAGTGTGGCCTGAACCTTTTCTGGTTAGGAGCGAAGGATTGGTGCCTTTTCGTGACTGGTGTTACACTCCTAAGCAGAGAGTTGATGTTACTTGGGAGTAGTTCTCAGAGATGTTCGATGTGAGATATGTTCCCCTGGTGGAGAGGGAGAGGTTGTCTTATTAGTACTTGGAATCGAGAAAGACGACTGAGACGGTGACAGAGACCAGTAAGATGTTTACTGAGTGGGCTCTTTTCTGCCATGAGTTGCTTCGAAGCAGGATCAGATGACTCGGTACTTGAGCATGTTCACGACGTGTATTCATCAGTTCGTGTCCACCCAGCATTATTATGATAACCGTCAAAATTCAAGACAATTATAGATTTGAATAAACTTGGTTGTACGTGTAGGCCCGACACATTCTAGACATGGTAACTAGAAGCTAAGTTATAACCTACTAGAAACATGGAAACAATTAGAAACGAGGGATAGTGTACTTAGATTTCACATTGATAAGTTATAACCTACTCGAGCATCTTTGTATATTCATGTAGAAACATCATGCACTTGACCTAGTAATATAAATTAGTTCATAGTCTCAGAGGAACTTGAGTCAAAATTGAAAACTAGGACTACTATACTTGATTCTTCAATTTCACTTAAATCTCAAAGATTCAATTTATTTTGATATCCAAAGATTTACAAAATTCCTTAAAACCCTAAAAATTCTAAAAACTTAAGTTTATGAAGTTTTACATTTAAAATCCCATAGAAATTTTATAAACTCTATAATATCAAATTAAAATAATCAAACTGTGAAAGATAATCAAGGAAATTATAGTTTAGTGTACCAACATTTATCCTTAATTTATAAGTGACAAAATCAAGGATTTTATAAAAAGAATGTAAGGCTTAATGCATATTTTATAAAAGTTGGAAGAAACTTTATAAAAATTGGTGGAAATAAATTAAATAAAAAAAATCCCCCTCCTCTTTCCAAATCTCGACTCTCTCTCCTCCCACTCTTCCCAAAACAGTTCACTAATTAAAACATCTCCCACACTCTACCTCTCTACTTCTCTCTCTAAAAACTTCTCTCTTCCTTCTCTCTAGAAATAACGAACTTAGAGGGTGTTTGGATAGGGGAAAAAGAGAGATCCTATAGCTTATTGCTTATCCCCACCGCTATATGCTAAGTTTAAGTTTTTGGATAGGAAACATTAAAAATCAGCTTATTGTGGTGGGGAGAAGATAAATAAGCTACTTTTGAAAATCTTCCTCCTCCCCTTGCTTAAAGCTTATAACATATTTCTAATCCAAACACTTTTGTAAAAGCTGCTTTCTCACACCGTTATAAGCTAATAAGCTATAAGGTAATTTATCCAAACACCCTCTTACAAGCCAAATCTACAGGATAGATTTTTCCATTCGATTATGCATGAGTCTACATGCATTTCTTTATTTTGCTGACCGATTTTGGTTGAGAAAAACCCCAAAAAGATGACGAGAGAGATTGGCTATCTAGAGAGACGGATTCTCTTTTCTCTCTTTTCTTCTCTCTAAACCCCCCCCCCCCCCCCCCGTCCTTCCTCTTCCTTTCACCCATGAATTTGGAAGCCAAAGAACTCCATTTGTGCTTAAAAATCTTCATCATCAAGAGTTATTATTGAAGGTAAAACCGAAAATCCTCCATTTTCCCTTCATTTCATTAAGATTTTTCTTGTATTTTCTTCTCATTCTACACCTTTCTCTATGTAAATCCATGTGCATGTTCGTGCACTTCAGTTTTGATGATGATAGTGGTAGGATTTCACCCAAAAACGATATGCATGTTGTTAAAAGGTGAAATCCAAGAACCAAAACCTATGTCAACCCCAAAAATATGAGTTTTTAGAAGTTTTAATGTTCATCAACCACATGCATTTAAGCTTTTCATTTAGAAACATCATTTTGAACAAAATAAGTTCATTCATGGTCTTCAAATCAAGAGGCATGTGATGAACATCAAGCTTAAAGGTTTGACGCTCAAAGTACATTGTTAAGAAGGTTCATAAAGGATTTTATTATTAACAAATACCTAAAACTCCTTTTCAGTTCAAATCCAATTTTTCCCAAAATTTTAACAATAAAAAAAGATGATCTTAAATTTTTTAGAAAATTATTAATTTTTCTCGAATTATTGTAGTATTTGCAAGAAAATAGAGAAATAATTCACATAAAATATTTTCTCAGGTCTATAAATCTTATATAAATTGCTAGATGACCTGTAAAGAAAATAAACATCTCCGATGAAGTTTCACCTATTTTTGTCACAGTTTGCTACGATATCTAATTTTCTTTGTGTTTAACTCAAATAAATCATAAATCTAAGTTCTGAAATATGAAATGAACATCTAATAATTTACACCACTTTTAGACCTTACATCACACCTAGATAAATATTTTGAGATTTTTTCATAACATATTTCTATTTTTCCACATTTTTTGTGTATTTAATGGACTAAATCAGGGAAAAATAGTTACACTTTCCTATAAATCATGAAAGGTTCCTAAGATATCTTCTATTACAGTAGGATACCAAATAAAAAGTTTAGTGATTTTCCTTACTGCTTACTATTTTTCACAATGTAAATTCTTATTTAAGGTACTAAATCATCGAAAAATGCCCAAACCATCTAAAAATCATGAAAAATGTCCAGAACGTCTTTGATTACAGTTTAACCAAAATTAAAATGTTTGATTATTTTTACTCACTTTTTACTATCTATTTCGAATTTCTTGTCATTAAACACATCTAAAATCATAAAAATGGGTTCCACAGTTTAAAAAGTTCATTGACCACTTAGCCTAGCTTCCAAATATTATAGATAAATTACTTAAGATTAAACATCAATAAATCCAAAAATCGGACTCCACTGGTTGAAATGACTTTTGATATTTTTTCCAACTTATATAAACTGAATAATAGTTGTATATAAAGATTGATAATTTTTCTTAACATTTTACTATTTTTTTCATGAATTTCTGAGGATTTAAGTGGTTAAATATGGAAAAATAGCTATTCATATCTAAAATGCTTGAAACATTTTTCAGAAGTATATGGCTGTAATTGGAACACAAAAAAAAGGTTTTGTGATTTTTATTTACTAATTTCTATTTAATTATAAGTTCTTGGTGTAAAACATAATTAAATTATAAAAACCAAGTTTTATTGATCAAAAGTAGCATTTAAGATTTTTCCTAGTTTAGGGATATTGTGAATCAGTTATACAAAAAATCTAAGAATTTTTCATGATCATTTACTCTTTTCCAAGAATTTATGATTATTCAAGGATTTAAAAATCGTGAAAAAAAAAGTTAGACAAGTCAAAATTCAAAGAAAATTTATATTAAGGTCTTTGACTTCAGTTAAAACTGAAATACAAAGTTTGTGAAATTTAAGAACTAATTTGATTTAATTTTGAATATTTAATCATTTGAAACACCTTTCAAAATGTTATAAGTACATCAATTAACATTACAAAAATGGGATTTTCCATTTAAATTTGTTTTTAAACAAATGGATTCATAGGAATCTAAATTTCACAGAAAAGTGTTTGTAATATAACACACTACTAGAAAAACAGCCTTTTACAACACACAATGTGTGTCGTAAAACTCTCAGATGATGCGCAAATGCGCGTCAAGGAAGACCCTATCATAACGAGAGATGAGACTCTTTTGCACGTCGTAACCTTACGACGCGCATTCACGACGCGCAATGCGTGTCAAGGAAGCCCTGTCATAAATAAGATGACACACATTCGCGTGTCGTAAAACGATCCACATTTACGACTTGCATTGCGTATCATTAAAGCCCATGTCATAAAGAAAGATGACGCACATTTTTGTGTGTCATAAAGTTTAATGTTTTAAAAAATATATATATTTTTGTAAATTTACTAATTTTCGTATTACATCACACATTTAATGTCTCGTAACATAAAATAAAATTTAATGCAAAAAAAATAAAATAAATTGCACAAACAATAATGTCATAGAAATAATCATTCA